CAATCCTCGATGTTCAACAAATTAATTCACTCCGGTTTGAACTACTGCAAATAATTTATTTCATCGAACTTTCCATTCCATCGACTACGGTTGTATTTTGAAACTTTTTAGAAACAGAAACAATCAAAAGAAATTAGTAATTTGTTACTTAAAAAGATTTTTACAAAGTTGAACAATAAGGAAGTTAAACGAGCATACAATATTTATACAGGGTGTCCTATGCAACTGGAACAGGCTATATCTCTTAAACGGTTGGGAATAGAAAAAGATGTTATAAATCAAAGTTAAATGGTATCATACGATGCGTAATATGAAACTAATTTTATGCACTTATGTATATTGGTGCATCGGAAAAATGCAACTGCACTTTTGTTTTAAATGGAAACCTACATGTTTGACTGCACCAGTCGATGTAGTTTCTTATGCTCTATATAAAAGTACTAACATACTTATGCCTTAAACTTATTCGTTAGAAAATTATCGAAGATAAAAAGTTCTCTGAATTATTTCGGTCTCTCTGCAAGCGTTTCGGAGTACTTACGTTACAACAAGTGTTCAAATGGTCCTCCATTGCAGTCCAAGCATTTTTCCATCCGTTTTTTGACATTGTACAATGCGTTCCTGATGTCTCTTTCCGTAATTTTGGATATTTCTTGCTGAATGCGTTGCTGGAGCTCCTCAAGATTAATAATGGGGTGCAAGTACACCCTATCTTTTAGAGATTCCCATAAAAAAACGTCGAGGGGTGTGAAATCTAGTGATTGCGCTGGCCATAAGATCGACCCTTGTGTACCGATCCATTTCACTTCATAAGCTTTATTTAATGTCTGGCAACTATCTGTGAATTGTGTGCTGGAGCATTGTCTTGTTGAAAGTACCCTATATTTCACTGTACACTTGGAGGAATCTCTGTATCGTGGAAGAGAACTGGTAGATCGGATTCCAGAAAGTTTAGGTACCTCTGACCAGTTAAAGAAATATGGATCGATAATCCATTTGTCAAAAATTCCACCCCAAACATTTACACTGTACCGTATATGATTGTTAGTGTTTCTTCCGAGGCGTGGATTTTCAACGGACCATGTATGTTCATTATGTCGATTGAACATCCCACTTTTATATAGAGCATAAGAAATTACATCGACTGGTGCAGTAAAAAATGTAGGTTTCCATTTTAAAAAAGAGCGCAGTTGCATTTTCCCGATGCATCAATGCACAAAAGTGCATAAAATTAGTTGCATATTACGCATCGTCTAATACCATTTAACTTTGACCATTTAGGAGGTATAGCCTGTTCCAGTTGCGTGAAACACCCTGTATACGAAGGACTCTAATGTCCACAATTGAAACACTATTCCGTTCATATACTTAGCTCCAATAACACGTGGTCGTCCCTTGGCATGACCGTTTCTAATTGCTTACACCGTTAAACCAAGGAAGACACGTAACAGAATATATTAATTATCGACGTTGTAAACCGTTTAATTCGGTCGTACGAAACTAGCTCGAACGCCTATCGAATTTACTCCGTTTTTCCCGCCCAATTGTTCACGCTAGCTTCTATAAAAAAATCAGCCTGTTTAAAAAATGCAATATCGAGCTGACCCATACGGCGTGCTAAAATTGAAATAATTTGTCGAGTTTTTATCTGGGGGAAAAAATGAAGAATCGCGAACAAATGGGTTAACGACCGGATACGGTTTCTGGGATCACCCAGCGCGCGGGGGGAGGTGGAGGAAGGAAAAAAATTAGCATCGTAAATCGGCCGCGATGCATCCAGGACGGTGTGTACCGTGCGTTCGGAAAATTTTTTCGTTAAGTGGTAACATGCCACGGGGTGTCGCGTTGAGCTTATGTTCGTCGTGTGTCTAAAATTTCGTTGGAGTCGTGCAAGGTAGCCGGTTCGCAAAGGTATTCGTTTCACGAAGGTAAATAAGAGTAGACGGGAGTCGCACGTACACGGCTCCGTGGACGGGTGTAGTGTTTTCCACTTCCTCCCGGCTGAAAAATGACACGCGAGTAAGGTAAATACGTTAGGGCGGCCGGGAAGAGACGACTGGCGACTCAACGACGACGACGACCACGACCACGACGACCACGATGACGACGGGGATCGGCAATCACAGCCATTAGCCGCTATTTTTGTCGAGAGCCGAGAAACGTAGTGTTTTCGTGCAACTAAAGCCGTTTCGGACCCGAAACGACTTCATCTTCGCGCCGCTGGCCCGGAACGACGCGCGTCTTTCGGATTTAATTAACCGCGATCTATCCCAGCCGGCGATCCGGTCGGATCCGCGCCAGACACGCTGAAAAATTCGGCTAAACGTACCCCCGGTGGTTGTTTCGAGTTATCGAGCTATCGATCTATCGACGAAAGTCGACGAGAAATTGTATCGATGCTCGCCTCGAACCCGTAACTAACGATATTCGAACTTCAGCTTCGATACGATTTTTCAAGACTACGAGAGTTATAACTAGAGTTTTCTTTGTTTGAGTTTTTGTAAGTTTTCTGTGAAAACGAGTCTCGTGAATTTTGTAACTTTGAAGGTAAAGTGTAGACCGAGGAGCAGGTACGCTACCCTATCTTGAAAGTGCTTTCAAAACTTTAAACGCGTTCTTTTCAACACCGTGTTTCCGGGAACTGTCAACGCCCTATCTTGGGAATTATCGAACCTATCGATTTGAAATTGCGCTTCCTTGTAAAGTATATGTCTGTTTATCGTATCTGGCTGGTTTAAATAGATATCTTGATATTTTCTATTCGTCTTTTAGCTTTCTCAAAGTTCAGCGAAGATCGACGTATCGTTTCAAATATAGATAAACGCGCAAATTGTCAATTATAACCTAATAATATTTTTGTTTATTCAAGTTCAGTTTCACTTATCGATATATTAACCACAGACGAGGTACACGAGTAGACCTTACACCTTATATGGACTTTTGTGGCCTAATCTGGCTGCCATACATATTGGAAAATTTTCGGCAAAATTAAAAAATTTCCAATCGTTCTAAAAAAATTATTTTCATTTGGAGGGATCAAATACAATCATTTTATGTGAATACACATATACCCGAAATCCTACGCAAATTCGAGAAAAAAATTCAAGAAGGTGGGCAAATTTTTCGGCGAAATTGAAAAGTTTCAAATTGTTCTGGAAAAATTATTTTCGGTTGCGGGGGTCAATTACAATCATTTTTGGTCAATAGACATACTCCCGAAATCCTACCCACTTTCGAGAAAAAAATTCGAGTAGGTGCCTGAGTTTTTCGGTGAAATTAAAAAATTTCAAATCGTTCTAAAAAAATTATTTTTGGTTGTAGGGGTCAATTACAATCATTTTTTGTGAATACACTTATACCCGAAATCCTACACAAATTCGAGAAAAAAATTCAAGAAGTTGGACAAATTTTTCGGCAAAATTGAAAAGTTTCAAATCGTTCTGGAAAAATTTTTTTCTGTTGCGAGGGCCAATTACAATCATTTTTGGTGAATAAACATACCCTCGAAATCCTACGCACTTTCGAGAAAAAAATTCTTTTCCGAAAATATACTATGTGGTCAGAAATGTTTCCCCGAAATTTCGTGCTTACGTTTAGAAAATCATAATTTCTGAACGGATTGAAGGATTTTAATGTTTCAAAATGCAAGCAATGTGTATTAATGGGGTTCTAGAGTCCCAGAAAAATGGGGGCGAAAAAATACATTGGATGTAAGGTCTGCTCGTATACCTCGTCCGTGATCTGAACGATAGTTTCGATATTATCGACATCTATCGATAACGTGGTCGATATCTTAACGATTTTATCGGCGCATAAATTTATCGATAACGTTATCGATGGTGGCATCGACAGTTTTAACCGCGCGTTTAAACGAAGCATAGTGACTAAGAGAGTGAAACGTAATTCTCGTTACCTATTAGCAGTAGCTCTAATAGGCAATCGTTATTCCTCGAAACGGAGTTCAGGTGCTCGCGGAAATATGATATAGCGTTCTGCAATTCGTTCAGCCGCGAGCAGCTTTAAAATACAATGCGACGTCCTCGAACGGGCGCGTGTGTATCTCGTGGCCGCTTATTTCTCTCGGGACGTTTCGAAACAAATCCTACGAACAAATAAATAAAGGGAAGAAATATCGTTTCGCCGAACAACGAGTAGGCGTCGATGGAATTATTCGTGCGAAGTTTCTCATCGCCGGTGGATTCCCGATCACGGAACGCATTTCGGCGTCGTACGCGTTGTCGTCGTCCCCGCGCAGCAGGAAATTCGCGAAACCACGTTTTATTTCAGAGACGAAAACGTCGATGGCCAAAATTTTACTCGAAACGATGACGAATAAGAACGACGTATAGCGATCGTAGAGCGACGCATTTCATTCTATATTACGGAAGAAGCCTCCAACATCGAATCAAAATCTACGATCTTACTCATACTCAATTCAGTGCTAAAGAAGAGTGTCATTATTACATTCGTTTAAAATGATCGGCTCCAAATCAATCATTATCGATGATAGAACGAGCACGAATGAAAGGAGCTTTGTTTACAGTGCGAATTAATAAAGATACTTGTAACCCCCGACCATGAAAACAGACATATAACTCTACTTTCAAATCTTTAAGTTGAATTTCTTCGAAGATCCTTTTACGACCATAAAACGAGATAGAGATGCGAATAAATCATTCCGAAATATGTGGATCTACGATTAATGTTATTCGACGAGTTGTATTTCGTATTCGTTTCGTTCGTTGCTCGAAACTGTCGGTCCGGACGCGGATTTTGCCCATGTCTGTTCCGAAAACTTAACGTACCCGACCACACCGCTAGGCGCCCGCTGTTACTCCTTCGTGTCGTCTTTTGAATGGAACTATTTTTAGAGTGCGCCTACTATATGTGGATAACTGTACGCGCCCGTGGCGTATTCAGTTTCTGCACGGGGCCGCGCGCGCTGTAAGCGCAAAATAGCGCGGACGTGTTCTGAACCGCGTTATAATTTTATTTTCCAGCCACCTGACGCGAACCACGACATGGGAGGATCCGCGGAAAACAGCGGCCGCGGCGAACGTGGCGGCCGTGGCTGCCGCCGTCGACAACGGAAAGTCCACCACAGGGGCCACAAATTCACTGGGCCCGTTACCGGACGGATGGGAGCAAGCGCGCACCCCCGAAGGAGAGATCTACTTCATCAATCATCAGACACGCACCACCTCCTGGTTCGATCCGAGAATCCGTAAGTTTCACAAGTTAGATACGTTTCAGACCTCTCAAAAGGTATTTACCTAAAAAAGAAAGTTTTTTGAGATCGAAAAGTCCTTTGTCGTTTTCCAATGTACGGTCTCGTTTTCGAGATACACGCGTTTGAAGTTTTTACGCGCGAGGGTGACATAGATGGCGCGCACGTGTTTCCGGGCGATCAGCTGACTCGGGGATATAAATATCGCACCCCGGAAGTGACATCGGTAAATCGCTCGAATCTCGAAAACGAAATTCCAGATTCCAAAATTGACAAAGGGCATCTTTTACTGTTTCTCGAATAAAATAAAAATTACAAAACGCTCGTCGCGCCGTGCAACCTTGAGCTTACCGATTTTTGTCGACGTCCGTTATCGTGCATCGATAATCGTAGGGATTTAATTTATGGAAGGAAACGATTATTTCAGCGACGCATCTTCAGAGGGCTCCAACATCGGGCGCCATGTTACCGCAGAATTGGCTTCAGCAACCCACAGGTGGTGGTATTCAGAGTAATCAAACGTTGCAAGCGTGTCAACAGAAGCTTCGTCTCCAGTCGCTACAGATGGAACGCGAACGTCTCAAACAACGGCAACAGGAAATCATGCGTCAGGTTGGTGTATTTGTGTTCCCGGATCGTTTATTCTTTACCCGTCCACACCCCTCCACCCTCCCCACGTCGATGGTGACGCGACGAATGTTTCTTTCCGTAGCAAGAGCTGATGCTCCGACAGAGCACCACCGACGCCGCCATGGACCCGTTCCTATCTGGAATCAACGAGCAACACGCGCGCCAGGAGAGCGCGGACAGCGGTCTCGGTCTTGGTTCTGCATACTCTTTGCCACACACCCCGGAAGATTTCCTCGCGAACATTGACGACAACATGGACGGTACAAGCGGTGAGATATCCTCGCAGGTGTAGAAATATATCGTAAAGAAAGCGCTGATCGAAAGACAACGGGGTTGTTTTTCCATCAGTTTCAGACACGTCTCGCAACGGTACTGGGGTACTAAAGCATCCCGTGTTTTTCTTCCATTTTTGCAGATGGAGGCGCACCCATGGAGACCCCAGATCTTTCTACTCTGAGCGATAATATCGACTCGACCGACGATCTCGTCCCGTCGTTACAGGTACTTGTCGGAATTCAGTAACCGTGCATACCGGTATGGCCACGGTTGCGTCGAATTTAACGTAGTTCTCGTAATTTTCCTTACAGTTGAGCGAGGACTTCAGTAGCGATATTTTGGACGACGTGCAATCGCTCATAAATCCTAATCCGACGAAACCTGAAAACGTGCTGACGTGGCTGTAGTATGGCGGTTGGGAATTGTCTATGACAGGCAAGCAATTTAAGAAATCGACACGATAAACAAAAATTGCAATTTTTAATACGTCTAAACTGAATGGGACGGTCCCATGGGATTTTACCAGTAAAGTAACGACTATTCCATAACGACAAAAAACAAAAACAAACAAAAAAAAAAGTAAAAAAAAAAAAAGAAAAGAAAAGAAGAAAACGATAAGAAAAACGCACGTGAACGAGAAAATTTTTTTAAACGTTTAAGTGGTAAATGGAGCCTTAATTGCGACGCGTTATGCTCAACGTATATACGGAAACGTGTGTACAGGAACATTCACAGGGTGTTCCAGGAAACATTGACGTCGGATCCAAGGATCGTGCTTCTTATTGAGTTCCAAACACAGATTTCGTCTTATCTGTCGCGCACGTCGAGCGATAGGCTACGGAAGTGGTAAAGAATTATAGAATTCGAGGCCTTAAAGTCTAGTGTTCATGGCAAGCTTGTCGAGTCTTCCTGAAGAGATCTTTGAGAATATTAAGCAGGCCGTAATTATCTCTAAGGCTTCTCGAGAAACGAACGTTTCGTTGCCATTTCTGCGGCTGGTCGCCTGAAACAATCGACATTAACTTTGGAATTGAATAAAGAACACGATCTTCGATGTTTGGGGTTCGACGTTCTGGGGGGCATCGTGTACATGTAAATGAAACGTATTCGGATCTTTCTCTTTCTCTCTTACTATTAGGGTGTGTTTGGATGTTTGTATGTTTGTATGCGTGTATGAGTGCATTTCTCCTCCGCAACATTTTGTATATAAGTTTGTATTTCTATACTAAAGCACTAGTACGAGAGGGAGAGGGAGAGAGAGGACTGAATATTTTGATAATAATATTTAAATGTGCGTGAACGCTCGTTGATTAATAGGGGAGCGCAGTGAACGAAGAAAGCTCGATATACTTCCCGATAGTACGGAGTAGACAAGTAAATTGTTGTTTAATTATATTTATATCACGTTGATTTACAAATGGTAATCTGATATCATGACATATCAGATTGAAACGATCATAGATCTCGCGTGTGATTTAAATTTAAAGAGGGGGAAAAGAAAAGAGAAAAAAATAATGAAAATAGGAGAAACACCATACCTGATGTGTTCACGGAATTTTGATCGTGGAACGAAACGCAAAATAAGTGCAATTATTAACGGAAAAACTGTCCGCATAGAGATGAAAATAGAAAGGGTATGATGTTCGATAAACGATATTTTATTCGATATTCGTCGATTGATACAAGCGGTGATCTTTATACGATGTTTACGGAAGCAACGGCGAGCAACGTCTAAAAGTATCAAAGCATTTTTAATGCACGGACACTTGTCTATACCTTGAAGTTGGCATACGGAGCAAATCGTGTTACGTGTATAATTCAGATTCGAAACAGATTTCTTCGAATCGCGTGTCCAAAGTATATATACATACATACATATACACTGCAATCGAGTGTCGATAATGCTCAGACTATTTTACAAGCGATATATGCTTAAACGAAGTGCCTTTTCATTGCAATCGATTTTAACGACGATATTATATATGTTGATCGTCATCTTTCAAAGCAATAACCGTCCATACGAGATGTTTATGTGAACATGAGATAATTGTTAAAATAGGCAAGCACGTTTTTTTAGACCCTTTTAAATACTTCGAAGAGGGGAACACAAAATGAATATATATATTTTTTTTATATATAAAGTCTATACTTGTTACGAATTGCAGTTATATTGGTATTTTGAAAACACTGTTAGATTGTAAAATTCTCTTATGTTTTATACTACATACAGTTATATAATGGAGATTACAAAAGAAGAGTATATGATATTTATAGATTATCTTTAAATATCTTTAGCCTTAAGGTGTTTTTTCGCGTTCTTCGTTTGCCCGCCTTTTGGGGGGACGGGAACGATCGAAAAGTGAAAAAAAAGAGGCCGTTAATCTTGTACTTGTCTGTTTCTCGTGAAACAACGCGTAGTAATGGTTATTATCGAACAAATCAAAGCGACTCGGTAGAAGCGCAGACAGCGTGCGTACACATATATTTTTAGTTACATGGCAGCTTAAGTGTACACATACGTCGTAAAAAAAAAAAAAGAGGAAGAAGAAGAAGAGGAGAGAGAATAAAAAAAGAACGGAGGTTGACGTAACTTCTTTCGTTGGTTCGAAAAAAAAAAAGGCGGCGATAACGATTGATAAAGTGGGCACCCAGTGATAACAATCGCGCAATCATGTATTTTATCCGACTGATCTTTATTCCACGTTTTACGTTTCTTTCTTCTGTCGAAAGGAAAAGAGAAAACGATTTTATTTTTTCAATGATACAAACCATTATCTTGTTGAAGTTTATTTGTTAATTGTCAAATTTTTGATTGTTATTCGAATCGTTGCAGTTACGTCTGCCCGCCGCGGTTGTTCGTCGAGGATGATGTAATTTCGGTCCTTCAAAAAGAATATGGAAAAAACAACAAAAAAAAAAAAAAATTGACAAGCCATTGATGCTCTCCTGCCTTTTCTTGCGACAAGGAAAAGTTCCGGAGACGCGAGCCAGACTTTGGTTTACAGTTACTCGCACGCTCGGTTTGATAATTTTTCTGTTCACAACGTTTCACGTGCGGGTAACGAGTATTCGACCTCTTACTTTTTATTTTTTAATGAAGTTATAAAACGATCATGTAATATTCACTCGATATTTTGTGTTACTATCTGTATTATACGACTGAAACTTGGAAAGCGATCGCTGTACAGTCACATGTGCCAGCATAAAACACAGTAGACCTCACGTTCGTTTTACAAAACATTAATCATCGTGAACGTAACACACAAAAAACATTTTATAAATAATCGCGACGTTTCGCAACGAAATGGAGAAATAAAGAATGGAAGGGAAATGATGTTAACGCGACGTTATCGTTTCTCGAACAACGAGTGTCTGTTTCCTCCACTGACGATCATCGTGCATCGAACGTCTCTATAGTATTAGATTAGTATTGTAACTGTATAAAAATGGCGAGGAGTTACCGGAACAATGAACAAACAAACAAACGAACGAAGCCGCTCGTTGCCTTCGAGAAACCTATCCTCGCGTTAAGGGTTTTAAACGCGTACAAACACTCGGATCAGAATTTTATGTCGTTGATCATGTCGAGAGGCACAATACATTTTATTTCGTCGTTCGGACACCGTCTACTGTGTTTTCTGTTTCGTCGTGTTCGTTCGCAAATACCGACTGTGCAACGCGAACCGTAAAGAATCTTCGAACGCGATCCACGAATGTTACCATCGATCAACGAGGATCAGGCGAGATCGATGCGCTTGCGAATAATTAATTGTTCACGTCTACGTCACGAAATTACGTGGTTTTACACTCGATGCGATAGCTTCCAGGCATGTCAGGTCAGATACATTTAATGTATTATTTTAATTGCTAGTTATCGATAATATTAATATTACCATACACCGTATCTTGCTTTTAGTCTAAACTCAATTTAGTTGTTACGTTCAGGGAGGGAAGGGGGCGGGAGGGGAAGAAAGGGGGGCATCGCGAGGGAGAGATAAACCTCTTGTAAAGTGCCTTCATATAACGCGAAGAACAACTGTTTTACGAAGTGGGGGGAAGGGGGGGGGGGTGAAGCGTTTGTTAATAACGAGTCGAATACAGAAATAATAATAATAATAATAATATTAATAATAATAATGATAATAAAAGGAAAAAAACCGTCTTCAGACTCCCTTTAGGTGGCGCATCCATAATATCTGAGATTATAACTACGAGAAGCAATTAGTTGTTTAATATCAGTATTTAAATATGCTCATTGGCAGTAATTTGTGACGTACATTTTTATATCGGTAACAAGTGCCTTAGTAATAACGATAATGATAAATATATTGTTTACTTACGTACTGACAAGCGATGTCATTGAGTCTTTTATTTCCTCGTCGACACCCACCTACGTCGATCCACATATTCTGGCGTCGAACGATGTTGACCCCCTATAACCTAAATTATGTTTCACTCCCGAAAGAAATTATTTAACAGGACATTGTTAAATATCCTTACGTCAGAAATTACTACTAACAGATGATTCGAATAGATTGTTCAATGGTTATATCATAGACGAGGCATACGAGTAGACCTTTCACCCAATGTATTTTTTCGGCCCATTTTTCTGGGACTCTAGAGCCCCATTACCATTTTCGTGTCACTCGCAACGTTACCAACAGATTTAGACATGAATTTCAATCCCTTCCCCATAGTCAATTCGCATGTATTTACGCACACGTTACAATTGTCTGACCATCTTGTGGTCAGTGAATAGTTTTTCAACTGACGAGGACGCTAAAATAACCTCCGAATTGGACAGCTTCAGGAATTCAAGAAAGAAGGCGAATGTGTCTCTCTTTCTTGCTTTCGAAACAGCTGAAATCCGATTTGTGTTAACCTGTATACGATTTTGAGTCTCGACTGCCCAGGCATTTTTATTTTCCATGTATACCTATTACACATAAACGAGGTAAAGAATAGACCTATCGTTAGTGGGATGAACGCTATCGCTGTACCACGAGTGTCTTATAACATGAGATACACTCTTCCAAAGTGGAACAAAATGTTAAAACGATCATGCATTAAATTGTAAGGGGATCCTCGTAAGAAGGCTTTGATCTTCGTAATGGTTTCAATGGGTCGATGATCAACAGTGACTAACTTATGGTCACTGGTGGTCAACAGTGAGGTTAACAATAAGGTCAGTGGTCCAGAGAAGATCCAGAAATGGTCAAGAGGTGGGACCAATCGAAATAGTTTCTCTGTAGACAAGACAGTCTAATTGTTAACTTTAACTTTGGCTCTGATTAGTCTCCCCACCCTTTCATCACCTTAGACATATAAGCAGGGCCACTACTAAGAATTCTTCAGTCTCGTCGCGAATTCGGGAGTGTACAAATGGCCAGAAGTGAAACGGTGACAGCTGCTGACCTCTGCTGGCCACTGATGACCACTACTGGCCTGAGGTGACCATGGGTGACCAGTACTGACCACTACTGACCACTACTGACCACTGCTGACCAGTGCCGGACGGTGATGACCAAGGTAAGAGCTGTTTTAAAATTCTCTCCCCTCTTCTATTCTATCATTTGATACCAATTTCGCTTCAATGAACTGATTTTGCCTTGCTTGTCTAACTGATGTTACTATAATATGGATATTTTCTTTCTTTACAGCTGGCCCAGTGGTAACTATCCTGTATACTGACAACAAGTAGTAAGTCCACTCCACTTATTTATATTTTATTATATTTATTTGTTTATTTGATATGAATTCAATTTTATTTATCTATCTGATTTTATTTGGTTACTATGTATGTTCCTTTTCTCTGCTTCTACTTTTACAGTGTTATTGCTTTGATATGTATAATATTGCAGGGATATAATAATTTAATATTGTTTTCAATCATATACTATATTCGTTTCTATACAATTATATGAATTTTTATTTTTACATTCTTTCTCGAATTTTAGTAATATTCTACGGAGGTACTTTGTTTGATTCTTCCATTTCGTTTGATTGTTTGGTGTTTATTCAACTTGGTGTCTCGATCCAAGTTTCTTTCATTATTACGAATGTTTATTTTAATATATATAACATTGTGTCGATGCATATACGATATTTGTTTCGATGACACTGATGAATATAATAATGTTGTTAGCATCGTTGGTCACAGAAGATTTTTATTAATGGAGGGTGGTTGGGAATCGGTTAGGGCGGGTCTCCATTCGCAGCAACCTCCACGTGGTGAGACCTGGGTAATATTATTTAGCGTTTTCTTAATAATCGTATCACTCTTAGCTGGGTAATGCAATTATTAATTAAAAACTAAATAGTATTAGCAAATTGGCTGCGATCCGCATTGCATAGGTCATCATAAATATAGAGCTTCTTTGTTAGATTAGTTTTGATTCTCCTTGATTCATCAAAGATTTTAGAGTATTGTCATAGACGAGGTATACGAGTAGATCTTTCACCCAATGTATATTTTCGGCCCTTTTTTACGGAGTCTCGAACCCCCATTACCATTTTCGTGTAATTCGCAACGTTACCAATAGATTCAAAGATGAATTTTAATCCCTTCCATAGTCAACTCACATGTATTTACGTGCACACTACAGCTGTTTGTCTATCAATACTAATTCAGTGAATAGTTTCTCAATTGACCGTCATCCATGGGAAGAGGACGCTAAAATCACCTCCGAATTTTCAGGTCGGCATGGCAGTTAGATTAGGCCACGAAAGTCCATGAGGCGAAAAGTCTACTCGTACACCTCGTCTGTGATACGAACAACACGTACGTTTTTTAATTTATCATTCTTGAAGATAACTTTTGTTTCATACTTTTACCTCGTTATAATGTGTAAATATTTATGTAATAAGTCACGTACGTTTTTACGTTATTTATCGTTCCTAAGATAAACACACTTCGTGTTGATGACCACTTAAAGAATGTTTATCTTCGCAAAAATAATTTTGTCAGAATTTTTTAACTTCGTCGAAAAATTTCTACACCTACGACACTGTTCCACTTCGAACCTATGTTCTACAGGATACAAAATAAGTTAGGGAAACTTCTTTCGGAACGTACTGAACAACTATTCAACAATTTCATCCGAATTAAACAGAAATAGTAGAAGTTATAACGAAACTGCATACAGATTCTCACTGATGCAGGCATTTGCAATACCGATACATACTATGGTGGCGCCATTTAGCACCACGAGTGGGAACTATTTCGTTACAAACTTGGTCGTTTTATTGTAGAGGGCGTTGCTATCACACTGTAATAATCCATTATTTTGCATAACTCTGTACATTGGATATTTCAATCCCATTTTTGCAAGTTATCCCATTCTACGGTACTCGACGTTCCTTCTTGGTGATCGTTTCCTTTTTACTTTGCTCCTACGCGAGTCGAGAAGCGTTAAACTCTCCGGTTTATGGTTTTCCTGTGCTCTGTCGTCGTTATTGTTCGTCATCGTTTCCGTCGCGTTTCGCGGCCGGAATGATCGATCGGCGAGACGATAGCAGAGCTTAATGCTGTAGTATGTTCCTTTTCCACGATGGCTCCGTTCATCAGCCATCGCTGCTGGAACGAGATGGAAGCGGCAGATTTCTGATTTGGCAAGGGGTGGGTTTCGCCGCGATGGGGAAGGAAAAAGGCAGCAGTTTGCGAGGGTGGCGACGATCCGTCTGGACCCCCATCAGGTCCGCCACGCTCCACGAGTATTTTTATGGTTTCTTCCGAACCGCGGTCGATCGTTCTAAACGTCACCTTCTATTTATGTATTCCACCCTCGTCCAATCGAACGGTTCACCAAAACCTCGTGGTCGTCGATACGATTAAATTCCTATCCAAAGTAACAATATCCAATAGATTTTCAGAATAATAGAAAGAATGATAATTGCGTCTAAGGCAAGGGTTACTGGAGAAGCCTTACTGACGAGTCCACCAGTAACCCTGGACGAAACACACTATTAGGGAAAGCATTTCTACCTATTAAAAATCATCTTCTAAGTCCCCTTAAAAGTTACTGGAGTCCACCAGTAACCTAGGATAAAACGCAATTGTTTTAAAACCATGCATTTCCATCGATAAACATCTTCCGAATCTTCCTAAAAGATACGAGTCGTATTGCTTGTAATTTCGATTTTTTTTAAACGGTGTCGGTGTTTAGTGCCCGTCGAGAATTCCTGCGAATGCTTTTTCGATGCAGTTTGCGTTAAATCCGTGTCCATCGGCTCGTAAACAGGAAACGGTCCCCCGGTTAAGCCG